GTGTGTGTGTGTGTGTTTTGTGTTGGTGTTGTACATTATGTTACAAGTGAATCTGAGAATCCATTCATTTATATAAATGCAGTATGTGTTTCACAGGTTCCATTGGTGCCAATATTGAGTGTGATTGGAGATCCATTGACCCCTGATGACCTTTAAACCTAGGAATTAAACTGAGCTGTCCACGATCATCAAGCCTCAGAGACATCCTTTCACACACAGGCAATCACAATTTACAAATCAACTTCCTTTAGGCATCGCCTAATTCAACCCAGTCTTGAGCAAAAGCCATAAAGCTCCATGGTGCTCCCTCTGGTGGCAGCCACAAACATCTCTACACCAACATCACCAGCCCATTATGCAGTGAAGCAGATCACACACTTGAAAGACTCCACTTGTCATATTTCTTCAAAGTAGTCAACTAACCTCTACTCAACCTTGTGTTTCAGCAAAAAATTTGCTTTTGTCATCAACCATGAGTGTTCATCGGCTTTCCCAGAGTTAAGAGAACCATCTATGAAAACAAACACACACTGATGCTCTCTGTGACTACAGAGAGATGTTGATTTAAGCCATTGATTTAAGACTGCAAAAGAAGCCAATAGGCAGGTGAAGAAAAGGATGCTGAGAGATGATCTCTTGAACTTGAACTAAGCATTCAGATCTAAACTTTCAAGATTTAAACCACCTTGGCTCAGATGACTGTATTGTATTACTACAATTACTTCCATATTTCTCAATCAACCCATTTTACCCAACCCCATCAATCCCCATTTTACAGCTGTACTTTAGCCCTTGACAGTAGAATACAATGGAAAGAAGAGCAACATCCTCCAGCTGACTAGACTGTGAACCATAACCAGCCATTTCAAGGCACAATAAAGCCTTACATCTTGCTAGAACTAGAAGGCACACATTGCAGCCAGTCAACTCTGATCGCGTGGACCAGCGGGTTCTCCATGTTAGTCAGAACATGCCTTTCATAAAACTTGTCAACACTTTATGTATGTTTACTTGAAATAATCCACACATTTTCTCTGGTCAGCCAGATTTCATGTTCTGAAGGTTTTTGGCCTGTTCGGCTGAAGATAACAGTCTGCTGTTGGTTAGCTGGGCTTGGTTCAGTCTATGCTTTAAAATAAACATTTATTTTTTATTCAGACTAAAACAAATGCATGTGTGCTCATAATCAGTTAGTGAACATCAGTCTGACTGCACACACAGACTCAAAGGCATTTAATTTAAATTTAATTTAAATTAAAGAGAGTAAATAACATGCATAATTTCTGCGATATTTTATATATTTAAATATTTTATAGAATATTTACTAAAATCATTAGAAATAATTTGAAAATGATTCACTTAAAAAAACAAAATAAAATAAATCCAAAGTAAACAGATTTATAATTTTCAATCAATTGTACATTTATGATTTAAAATACAACATAGATAAAACAATAAAGAATATGTTAAAGTCGGCATGAAACGGAAGATGCGATTGTCTTTTCTTCTCTACTGTGACGTATATCCGAGTGAAATGGCATCTGAAATGAGAGGACGGGACTTGATTTCGTCCTTCGGGAATTGATTGGATCGTTGGAAGTTGGGGCTTTTTTTAATTTAATGAAAAATTTGCCTTATTAAATTAACTATTATTTATAAACGTTTTTCCTCCTGGGGCCTGAAATGGAGGAATTTTGGTCAATATTGATAATTAATATTTTGTTGAATGTGTTTTTGTGCTGGCACCTTGGCTAGTTTAGGCGTGTCATGGATAAATAAATAAAATCACCAGTAGGTGGCAGCAAGTCCCTGTTTTAATAAATGATTTATTGAATTATTCAAATCAAATGATTCCTTCAAAACGGCTAATTCAATTAGAAACGAAACAGTGAGTCCATCTGAATGGACCATTGGCTCACTCGATTAATTCAAAAACAGATTCAATCTAGCAATGAAACACCGTGTTGCTCTGCACTATTGTATAAAATTAATAGCACTTGTGCTCGCACACGTGCAGATATTCAGAAAAGTAAATCGTTCGTGCAATGAATATAAAAACATAACTCATACATGGGTATTTTTTCCTTTTAACAAAATGGAGGCAGATCTGAATGCCAGTTTGCAGTTAGTGGTGGGGGATTTCTCTCCACTGGATTCACAGCTGACACCGAAGCATGAATAAATGTTTTATTTATTAAGGATGACGATGACGATCAATGGCACAAAACATGCCTAAAAAGCGTGCGTGAGAGAGAGAGAGAGACTGCCTGAATGACTGAGCAGGTCCTCCATCAGGTTAAGTCATATTCATGAAAAAAATTAGTTTGCGATGTCCTAAGAGTAATGTTAGTTTAGGCGTGTCATGGATAAATAAATAAAATCACCAGTAGGTGGCAGCAAGTCCCTGTTTTAATAAATGATTTATTCGATCGTCTCTCAGTCCCTCACAGTCACACATACAGCACAATAACATTATATCAGAAATGTCTTTAATAATCTAATCAAGGAAAAATCATAACTTAAAAACTTGAACTTAAAATGTTGCGCTTGAACCATTTTGCGTGAATAATGACAAAAACTTGCTTCCGCCTGTGCGCAGCTTGTTACAGTAGCAAGTTCTGATTGGGCAATCACCGTTATCTATCATAAGTAGAACATTTTAAAATTTAATTTGCATAAATTTTACATAATACACAACATTAATAATCCAAAGGGGATGGTAAGGGGGGATGGTGGTTTTATTGAGGGGATGCTTTTTGTCATTTTTTTCAACCAGGGGGATGCCATCCCCCCGCATCCCCCCTCAATTCGAGCCCTGCTGACTGCAGTGCGAAAGTGGTCAAGAATGCACAAGTGACATGAAGCAGGAGTGCTGGAGGAAGACAGAATGAGAGCAGATCCCTTCGGATGATTATATGACTTGAGCAGAAAGGCAGACTAGGTTTTGGCTTCCAAATGCCAGTATGGTCTGTGCTGTAGCCAGAGGAGCTCTTTACATTTTGCAAGGTGTTTGGTTCCTGAGAAAGGGCCCCTGTGAATATACGAGTGGCACAGAGGAAACCTCAACAACAAAGGCTGCACACTTTACTGCTGCTGCTAATGCGTTTGCCAGAGTAATGAAGAGTAACCCGTGTGTCCTCAGGGGCGTGATGTGGCAATTCCTACCCATTATCCCTAAACTTCGGTCAATCTCCTTCTCACACACACACGCACTTCAGTAAATGGCGATTTTGTCAGGTCTTGCTCACTTTTGGGTAAATTTGTCCCCAAAATATGGTTAAGTAGGTACACACACACACACATACTCTGTGATCAATGAATGTACAAGGTGGTCAGGGGGGCTTTCTCTAGTGCTTAAGGATGGCATGTGTAAATGTCAATAATGGGGATGTGTATGGAATATGGGCAATGGATAACAATGGTCAGAAAAAGCACTTAACTACCAGTGGCAATATAGAGAACATGAGTTGAGAATAAGCACCTGGAACAACATCAGAGTGAATATTAAAAGTATATAAGGAGTCTTTGTTTCAAGTGTTCAACAAGCAAAACAGACAAACTACTGGTTTAAATGCTTTTGTGTAAACAAAATTAATTAAAGAAAATATAGATAAAATGAACTATTAAATAATAAAAAAAATTATAGAATATTTATCACACTTTTAATTTGACAACTAAAAATGTGAACAGCAACAAAAATAATAAAAGTTGAACGTTCAATTGCTTCCTCTTGCTTTTGTAAAGCATATTTATAAGTTCTATCAGGTTTTTCCAATTTAATATTGGAGACACATGAGAACCAACAGAGATCATTTGTAATATTTCCTTTTGTGTTCCACAGAAGAAAGAAAATCTCTTATGGGTTATGACGTAAGAGTGAATAAATGACGACAATTTAATTATTCCTGTAGCTATAATAGCTACAACTAAAATGTATTAAAAATTAGACCACAAAATAAAACTGAATGATGACTGAACGATAACAAAACCACTGAAGAAACTAAGCTGAAATTTAAAGTCAAATTGAAAATAATATTACACTAAAATGCATTTGACCATGTGTCTTTTAAATGATGCCTGCTGCTGCTAATGCGTTTGCCAGAGTAATGAAGAGTAACCCGTGTGTCCTCAGGGGCGTGATGTGGCAATTCCTACCCATTATCCCTAAACTTCGGTCAATCTCCTTCTCACACACACACGCACTTCAGTAAAGAAGCATAGGGTCACACACACACACGCACGCACGCACGTTTACTTAGCTATCTAAATGGGGACATTACATAGACTTCTATTGTTTTTATATACATAGTTATACACTTTTTTTTTTTTTTACCTAAACCCACCCTTACCCCTAAGCCTACCCCTCACAGAAAACTTTCTGCATTTTTACAATTTCAAAAAAAACTTTATTTTTATACCAGTTTTACAAATGAGGACGTCCCCAAATGGAGGTTTTTGGCGATTCCACAGAAGAAGCTAAACTGAAATTTAAAGTCAAATTGAAAATAATATTACACTAAAATGCATTTGACCATGTGTCTTTTAAATGATGCAAATCATGTTTCCCGGTTTGACTTTGTATAAACATAAATCAAAATAAAGAGAGAACCGAGAGCCTGAGACATTAGTCCAGTGAAACGGTTTCAGATTTTTGTGGCTTCAATATACTCTGCCCAGTCTCGAAAGCTGTCAACACTCACAGGAATGACTTGGAAGGCTAGTCTGAGAGATCGTAGTGGTGTGGGCCGTAGGTCGTGGAGGCTCACAGACTCCACATCCCAGGGATCAGACAGGATAAGACTCACCCAACCAGGGCTTTCTTGCCAGCAGGGGCAATATCTGCTATTAAAGTGTGCTTGCATGCGTGGGCATTACAAAATGAGCATGAGTATGTCTCTTACCTTCTCATTATGGTTGGACTGCTTCAGGCCATTATAGTGATACACAGGAAATGAGTCTGGGATCACAGAATCCTGGAAAAGCGAGACGACACGTGTCAGTGTGGACATGTACATCATCGGGTCTGTGGAACATCAGCAAACAGCTCTATGTGTCCTTATTCACTATGACATATACTGCCTAGATCTGACTCCATCCATAGAATGCCAGAAAAACATTTCCGTGAGTTAAGACAACTTAACCAAAACGTCCCATTCCAGCTCAAACACATCAAAACACACTCCATAAACTTGGACAAGAGAACCTAAAACAACAGTTCAGTGAATGGTTTTAGATGTAATTACATGCTCAAGACTGACAGTACACTGGAATTCATTGCTTTAAGTCCAAAACAATCACATACACCCCCCTATGCAGCTGCTGAAAAGACCTGATTGCAACCCAGTGCCAAAACTCTGCAGACCAACTCAAACAAGCAGCAAAATCAAAGCACACAATCTTGACAGGAGCCAAATACCTCTGTCTAGCCCCCATACTGCATACCTGCCTCACTGCCAAAATTACAACAGCGGACCGTGTGTGCATGTGTTTGAGTGGGCCTGAAATAGGGTTATAGTATTTGATTTGATGGTAAATTGAGGCCTTTTTTGCATGTATCCCTAAAGCCCTAATCTATTTAACACAGAGCAGTGAAGCTGAAAGTCGATGCCAACTATAACCGTCAGCTTCTCCCCACACCTCTCTCTCTGAGGGGCTACATGTACATAGATTTAATCTGGGGCTGATTGTAGGTTTATTTGAACGTAATGAAAAAACAGTAAGAAAAAATAAACAATGTACATTCAACCTGAACGAGAGAGACATGATGCATGTATTACCTGATTAGGGAAGAACTCCTGCAGAAACTGACCTAACAGAATAATACCCAACCCCTCTGGATCCAGCTTACTCTTCATCAGATTCACACTAAGAGAGAGAGAGAAAGAATGAGAGCGATGGGGGACCATGAAAGGTGTAGCTCATTGTGTGTGCACATGTTGCATGTTTTCTGCATGTCTTGCTTATTGGCATCCTTGAGCAGTGAAATGTGTTGTCTGAGGTTGTCGTCAAAATGAGCTAAATCATGAATTATGTTCAGATAATAAACATATAACAGTGAGTAATGCTTGGAATCTGACTAATATTGTTTTAAAAACAAGTGATGTTAAAACAGGACAGACTTTTCCTTTTAAAGTCATACAGCGAGACTGATAACATTACTAAAGCTCTTCCACAGAAACTCAGCAATCAAAAGGATGATAAATGCTTTCTAATGTGATCACAAGTCACTTCAACATACACATAAAAATTGACAATTGCCAAAAGAGGCCAAAGAAGGTTTCAGACTTCATCAATACTTGAATAAACTGCTTTTGACAGAACAGGGTGCTGTGTAAAAACAAACACATGACCTAAACTTTATTCTGTCAATTTAACTTTCACATAAAAACCCCTTTGAAAGGCTGAAGTTGTCTTTCAAGCTGTCAAAGGTTGATGTAAGAAAGCAGGTGGTTTCAAATTGCTCAGATTTCAGCGGGAAACTGTTTAAGAGGTGAAGGTTTCAAAGGGACTATGGTGAGTGGCTTTAAACAGGGCTTTAGATGGAAGGTTTGGACTTTAATCTCTATTTCTCTTCTTTGCTCTACAGGAGTAATGAGTATGTTTGAATGGCATGTGAACCCAAATTGTGCAAATAGAGGGAGCACAGCTGTTTTAACATGCAAAAACCTCTTCACATCACTTTATGACAAACACAAATATCACTTTGCTGTGTTAGAAATAAAGTGATATAATGTTTGCTGAACATGCTAAAAATAATATAATATATTATAATGTAAATATTATACACCCTACCATTAAAAAGTTTGCGGTTGGTAAAATTTTGTTTTTGAAAGATTATGTTTTTGAAATGTGTTTCTTACGCTCTTATTATTATCAATGAAAACGGTTGTGCTGCTGAATCTTTTTGTGGAAACAGTGAAGCATTTTTTTCAGGATTCTTTGAGGAATATAAAGTAAAACAACAACAACATTTATTAGAAATCAAAATCTTTTAGAAACATTTACTGTCACTTTTGACAATTTAACGTATCCTTGCAGATAGGTACTACTTTCTTTCAGAATTAAAAACATTAGAACATTATTATAAACATTATTAACATTAGAACATTATTATGAGACAGTGAAGATTACTATATTGTGTATTTTAGCACTGCTTGAACACTGTACTGACCAATCAGCATCCAGGACTGTACTGTTCCGTTTTATAATTAAAAACATCATATACACACACACACACACACACACACACACACACACAAACTTAAACACACACAAACACACAAACAAACTTACTAGTCTGGCTCGGAGACGAGATCCAACGCTTTCATAACATCTTCAAGCAGTGTGTCTGGAATGAACCCATTATCTGAAGATGAGCAGAAAAGGAAAGAGGCAGATGGTTAGAGCTTCTGAGAGTCTTGATCACCACCCACACAACTGGTGTCTTATGCCCAACATAAAACATGAGTTTCATCTCTCAAATTGAAGACATTCTGCTGACCACGCACACATATGCACACAAACATGCTAAGACAATGGCTGATAAGTGGATGGATGAGTGGTGTATGTTGTTTTTCCTCCTCTCTGGTCTCCAACTGTCCGACAGGATGTTTGCAGAGCAGCTGGTAGGCTAACTCTTTTCCGTTTGCTATAAAATGAACTCTCTGCTTAAACTTTCCTGCAGTGACTGGATTAAGAACAATAAATATTCTTTACCACAGCATGAAATTAGATACACTCAGGTGTTTTGAATAATGCACTAGAAACTTTGGCTAAAATAGCTTCTATACTATTGACATAAAAAGGTATTCACAAAATATTACTTCTGTAATGTGACACATTTCTGAGTGAAACAATATTCAGTGGGAAATAATGTGGGGTGGCACCATCCATCAGGGTTTAACTGGATCATAACTGTCAGCTTAATATTTTATTGCCTATTTATTTAATTTTTTTCATAACTGCACCTTGGATGATGAATTTTGCAGGTGGTATGAAAATATTTTTTCATTAAAAACAATGCACTGATTAATATTAAGACAAATGGCATTTATTATGAAAGTAAACAGGGTCAATTTTGATTTTATGTTGTTTTAGCATTTAGCATAACTAGGGATGTAACGGTACGAAAATTTCATATCACGGTTATAGTGACCAAAGTTATCACGGTTATCAATATTATCACGGTTTTGTTAAAATGAGATGAAAATGTTCAAAAAGAACTGATACACACACTGAAAACATTTCAATAAGTTTTATATTTGAAAATCAACAAACACAATTAGCAGCTATATGCACTTTTTTTTAGCATAAACATTAAATTAACATTAACATTAAGCCCTAATAATAATAATAATAAATCACTTCCAAACCTGCCTGGCACTACGTGAAAAAGTAATTGCCCCCTAAATCTAATAACTGGTTATGCCACCCTTTGCAGCAACAACTGCAATCAAGCGTTTGCGATAAATGGCAATGAGTCTTTGACAGGAATTTTGGCCCACTCTTCTTTGCAGAATTGTTTTCATTCAGCCACATTGGAGGGTTTTCGAGCATGAAAGGACTGTTTAAGGTCATGCCACAGCATCTCAATAGGATTTAAGTCTGGACTTTGACTTGGACACTCCAAAACCTTAATTTTGTTTTTCTTGAGCCATTCAAAGGTGGACTTGCTGGTGTGCTTTGGATCATTGTCCTGCTGCATTGGCTGGACAGGATTTACCGCGAGTTTTCAAAATCGCGATAATCAAACACGGTTTTGATGATAATTAAATTTTAAATGATAATACTAACCGTCAGGGCATTTTATCATGATTTATCGTAAAACTGGTAATCGTTCCATCCATAAGCATGACATTACACTACATAACCAGACTGTCAGAAGCATGAGAAGTTCTTTGGACAAATGAAATGCACACACACACACAGAGAGTATTGTTCTTATTAACACGAGGAACAGGAATGTTGTTTACGACTTTGTAAGGCAAAAAGATGCCATGCAAGAACATCTAATCTGGTTCCTGATGACACTTTGAGTGTGTATTGTAAATTAGACACTTTAAATCAAAACTTTGGAAGAACACTTACGTTCTCACTACGACACATTCAGTGATATATACACACACACAAACCTATTCTACCTGACAGATATGAGAGTGCAGTGGGCGATCTCTGTTCCAGGCTCTCATTTCTTCCATTAAACGCCCTCTCTACCTTTTCTCTATATTATCATCAGGAGTCTTAGGTTTAATACAAGAGCAATAAATATTAGAGGAAAAAGTAGGGAGGAAAATATAACTTCATGAAACAGACTCTGGGAAAAAACACAAACAGGATATACAGGCAAAGATATACTGCACTGCATATGACTAAAGGGGCATCAGTGGTTTGTTCATAAAGCTATATTGCTGACTTTGCCATCTAAGCACATTGACTATTTTAAATCCTAATAAATCACGTGAGACTTTCCTCCCCACAAATCCTCAGCAGAAATGCTCACAAATAAAACACTGCTGGCCATTAATCATACATAGGACATAGTGACATTCAGTCTGAAAACATTACTATAGAGAAAGTAATCAGTGGGTTTGTTATAAATATCGGATAAACTATACAAATGTGGGGACTAAATAATGTTCAGTTTTTAAATGAATACTTATATTTAGCCAGGAGGCTTGATATTGATCAAAAGTGACAGTTAAGACATTTATAATATACATTTTTCTATTTCAAACAAATACTATATTTTATATATATTGTTTTCAGAATTGATAATAAGAAATATTCCCTGAGCAGCAAATCAGCATATTGAAATGATTTCTGAAGGATCACGTGACACTGAAGACTAGAGTAATGGCTGCTGACATGCTGACAATTCAGCATAAGAGAGTTCTTTTAAAAATCTCACTGACCCCAAACTTTTGAAGGGTAGTACATTAACCAAAAAAATAAAGGGTTTCTGCCTCATGAAGACTGAACCTGAAAGGTTTAAACATCATTTTTTGGGTTGTTTAACCCTTAAATGCATACCTCTTTTGCAACCCGGGACGTCATTCACTACCCTCTCCCTCCTTTATTTTTTAAAGTTAGACATCAACAACATAAGAAAAAATATATATAAACGAATGTCTGTTTTCTGATTGATTTTTTTGTAAAAGTGTATAGGGTCGCTAGCGACCCGAGGTATGTAATAGTGTAAGTATAATTTTCCTGCACAACAATAATTAAATATCTGATGACTCAATAAGTGCAATTCACCATTATTCCTCAAGGTGTTTGATAGACAATGATGTGATTTTTCACTCATAATCATCGCAGGCATAAAACAAAAGAATATCATCAGCAAAAATTGAACTGGCTTGCCTTGAATGGATTTACTGCAGAGCAATTACTGTACATAATGAAATATAAGTGTCACTGTCATTTGATGGTGGATGTGGTGAATAAGCTGCCAGTGACCAAAATATTGATTTTGAAGTCATTGAAAATGATAGTTTTGAGAATATGGTTGAGATCGCGAATATGAGCCAGATGCTGAATGTACTGGGGAAGTGCACTCTGACAGTGATGGTAAAAATCATCTGCTCAAATTGAACCCTTCAAAGTTTCAAAAGGTAACGAAATATGTTTTATTTTATTCTTTTGTAAATGTTACTAAAATATCAGGAGAGTTTTATGCTATTGCTGCAGTTACAGATCCATCCGTGTTAGATAAATAGGTCCGGGTCGCACTTGTAGAATTCCATGTCTGAGAAAATGACTGCTCTTTTACTCAACTGAAATAACACCTTAATATCAGATCAAATGTAGTCTGTTTTTTCTCATTTCCTACTCTCTCCTCAGTAACAGTAAAGTATCAACAAACAGTAAGCCTTGGATGTGGATGTGGTGAATAAGCTGCCAGTGACCAAAATATTGATTTTGAAGTCATTGAAAATGATAGTTTTGAGAATATGGTTGAGATCGCGAATATGAGCCAGATGCTGAATGTACTGGGGAAGTGCACTCTGACAGTGATGGTAAAAATCATCTGCTCAAATTGAACCCTTCAAAGTTTCAAAAGGTAACGAAATATGTTTTATTTTATTCTTTTGTAAATGTTACTAAAATATCAGGAGAGTTTTATGCTATTGCTGCAGTTACAGATCCATCCGTGTTAGATAAATAGGTCCGGGTCGCACTTGTAGAATTCCATGTCTGAGAAAATGACTGCTCTTTTACTCAACTGAAATAACACCTTAATATCAGATCAAATGTAGTCTGTTTTTTCTCATTTCCTACTCTCTCCTCAGTAACAGTAAAGTATCAACAAACAGTAAGCCTTGGATCTTTGCACTGCCTGATAAGCTGGAGAGATCATAAACTTGCTCTGGGTTTTGTGGAGCTAAAGCTCATCTTCCTCCCAGTGAAGGACGAGTTGACACAGCTGCTGGGGTTAAGTTGACATTTTTGAGTTGAGCTTATTCAGTCTCTTTTTCTCGCTCACAAACATACACAACATGAAATGCTTCCTTTTTAATAATCTTACCTTCCGGGTCAAAGGTCTGGAAGACTCTTCTGGCCTGCTCTGAAGGAGACTCGGGGGCCACCAAAGCCATCTCCTAGATAGAGAGGGAAATATGAAAAAAAAAAAAAAAAAAAGAGTTATGGCATGGGCAACATCATTTTTGTGATGCTAAAATATTCCTATTTCAAATTTAGAGATAAAGAGATAAAGATAAATCATTCATAAGTTGATTTTTCCTTCACACGATCTCTTTGAGTACTGAGGAGGCATAAACCGATGATGCAATGTGCTTTAAGGACCCTGGCTGAAATACACGACAGTAAAAATCTGAAAATGTTTATATGAACTGTACTTGCGTCAATTTGTTTGTGTGTGTGTGTGTGTTTGCAAAGGTACTGAGTGTGTGATTATGTTTTGTGTGTGTGTGTGTGTGTGTGTGTGTGTACAGTATATGAGTATAACTGATCTAAAGATAAACTCATAAATGGCAAAATTGCCCTTCTATCAAGCAATCTCACAGATCTTTTAATGAAAACAATCTTCTATCTCTCTCCCACATGCACAAAACTCACAAACAGGCTGCAAACTTTGCTGATTAATAGAAAACAAACCAAAATCCATGTGTGTTTGTTCATGTTTGAGTTACAGCGGGATCACCGCCTCATCAATACGTGTTGCCTGAGGGACTTGGGACAACAAAACACATCTGTATGTGTGTAAAAACTACTCAAGCTGGAAAATATGCAGAGTCAGCATGCACAGCTGAATCCCGTACAGCTATAAACAGTTCACAGAGTTTTCCATATCTGCATTCCAGTAACGTTCAGAGTGCCATTTAACCTCATCAAGTATTTTAATCTTAATTTAGTTAACCATTAAGTGATAAGTGCATTTCAAATCTGTGCCATTTCAGTTAGGATGCTGCTTAAGAAGTTAGCTGCCTATGTTTTTTTGGAACAGAATTTGAGTGATCCAAACTTATGACCTGCCCCCTCTTTTGAACCCACTCACTTTAAGACTTCATTCTCGCCATCTGTGTTTCAATCGCACAAGCTCTGATTCTCATTATTAGAAAGGAAGGCAGTGGATTAAGAGGTTAACTAGTTCTCATGGTGACTGATGATAAGAAAAAGGTAACGTTTTCAAAACTCTGCATAGGAATTCATCAATACTCTTCAAATGTGAAGCATGAGAGTCAGACGAGTGTGTGAGTGTTTGAAAAAGCTCTATTCTGTTTAAATGAAAGTGCTGTCAAATGATGGGCAATAAACTGCACCCTAATATTTAAGAAGCACATGGCACTCATACACACACACGCCAAGTATATTGCGTAATATTTTGCATACTGAGAGATTTGCTCAAACCCCTAATCTAGGGCCCTTTGATTTCTGTGAAGCAGAAAATACAGACAGAATAACAGAACACAGTCATTAAAACAAAATTTACTGTATAATGCGAAATGTCTCAGAATTTGGCAAATTTTGGATTAATAAATAAAAAGTAGGGCTGCAGAATTTATCAAATTCAAATGGTGATATGGACTACTGTCTGTGATTATTTAACCACAAAAAGACTGCTGTTTAAATATAAAAATGTACATGTTCTGTGTCTCAGCTATTCTGTTTAAATGAAAGTGTTGTCAAATGATGGGCAATAAACTGCACCCTAATATTTAAGAAGCACATGGCACTCATACACACACACATGCCAAGTATATTGCGTAATATTTTGCATACTGAGAGATTTGCTCAAACCCCTAATCTAGGGCCCTTTGATTTCTGTGAAGCAGAAAATACAGACAGAATAACAGAACACAGTCATTAAAACAAAATTTACTGTATAATGCGAAATGTCTCAGAATTTGGCAAATTTTGGATTAATAAATAAAAAGTAGGGCTGCAGAATTTATCAAATTCAAATGGTGATATGGACTACTGTCTGTGATTATTTAACCACAAAAAGACTGCTGTTTAAATATAAAAATGTACATGTTCTGTGTCTCAGAGTGAAAAAGAGGCCAAGTTTCACAGAGCTTTAAACTTCAGTATGTAACTCGCCCAACACAATTTGAGCAAAGTACATAAAATATGGCTCATTTCATATGGCTTGTTGAGAGATGAGCTATTACTGAAATAATGAGAAATGAAATCTTTGCCTATTGGACCCAGAATGCCTTGACACACCCTAGCAACTAGAGCCCGACCGATATATCGTTTTGCCGATTTTATCGGCCGATATGAGCCTGTCGCAGATATATCGTATCGGCGAATATGCCGCCGATATGAATTTTTTTTTACAGAACATAAAACGCAGATAAAATGCTTGTAAACGGTGTAATTATGTATTTTGTCCAGCAGAGCACGCTCCATTGTTTGCTACTGGCGACCTGGATGAAACGCTTTAAAGCTTAAGTGTATGGAATACCATTGAACCGACGCACGGAGGGTGGTGTTCGAGAGGGCCCCTCGAGCTGAAGGGATCTCCTGAATTTGGTGGAGATCTGAAGCCGCGTTCTTGAGATAGTGACACCAGCCAACACTTTCACTTCAGTAAGGAAGAAGTGAAATAAACTTCAACGGAATAAAGTTGAATGGATTTGAATTTAAATAAAGTTGAATAAACTTCAACTTTACTGTTCAGTGCACTGATGTCAGACTCATTTTGGATAATAAAGTTTGTTAAATTGTTAAATGCCCTGCCTCCATTACATATCTTTGTCACGTCATTATAAGTGTTTGATCACCACATTTGAGTGATCATTGCAAAAAATGTGTTTATGTATATATATTCTGTTTATGTATATACTGTATTCTATATATAGCTGGTACTGTACTATAATATACACAAAGATTATCAGCCGATATATCGATATCTGCCTTTTTTTACTCCCTAATATCGGTATCGGCCCCCAAAAAACCCATATCGGTCAGGCTCTACTGGCAACCACCCACAACACTCTCGCATCAGTTCTGCATAGACAAGAACCACTCATGCTTTCTTCAGAAAATCTAAAAGTCCAGTCAAATATAAAGTGTTTTACTGCAATTGAAAAAAACAAACATTAGCAATGAACATACAAACACGGTCATGGAAGAGTGAACATAAACAGGCTGTATACTTTCACAGTATGGTTTCAGTGTAACACACACAAATATCTCCTCTTGTTTCACAGAGTAAATATACAGCTCACAGTCTCACATTAAGAAAGAGGGACAGAGCAATAGAGGAGATAAAATGAGAAAGAAAAAATGAGGTACAAAGGAATAAGAAAGTAGATGACAAGGAGGAGGAGTTGCAGCAGGATACTGTTTGTCTTAATACCACAATCTGAGCTAGTACTCCACACAGTCAAACAGGACACCTTTCCACAGTCGAATGGCAGGTAGTCAAAACAAAATTAAAACATTTTGGAAGTAACTTGCCCAACACTGGTTATAAACCCTCATTCCTGAAGTAATGAAAAAGATTTGTTAGTTTTAACATATAGCAGCAGCACGAAGCTCAGTAGTGGTGCGAGACAGAGAAAAATGGACGAGTGCTTAATTATACAAGTGAGAAGTTTCAATAGGTACTGGATGGGGAGACTTCTGCCATGAACTCTTAAGAGTTTAACTGCTCCATAAACATTGGTCAAACAATCTGACAGACTCAAAAGGAATATTTCATCCAAAAAAATAATAATTCTATCTCTTATCATTTTAAAACCCATATGATTTTTTTTCTTCTGTGGAAAAAAAAATTAAATTAAAAAATGGGGTTATTCTTTACTATTGTATGGTATTTATTAATTTATTTATTGCAGCTTGACAGTTTGAAGTCACTGTATGTTTTCATTGTACACTAAAGAAGAGTAGCAGGACTGTTTTTCAAAATGATTTTTAAAGTGACTTATATTATATTGCACTGAAGAAAGCCTCCACTGTCGCTTTTGATCAATTTAATGCTTTCAATCAATCTTACTGACCCTAAATTTTGAAGGCTAGTGTATAATGTTCTTTTTATTTTGGTTATGAAAGTAATTTTCTCTAAGTGAATGCTGTATATTAATGTTGTAAATTATACAGGAATCCTTTTAACTTGGCACTGTACACAAAAAACACAAAAAACAATTGTATGGTATTTATTAATTTATTTATTGCAGCTTGACAGTTTGAAGTCACTGTATGTTTTCATTGTACACTAAAGAAGAGTAGCAGGACTGTTTTTCAAAATGATTTTTAAATTGACATTATATTGCACTGAAGAAAGCCTCCACTGTCGCTTTTGATCAATTTAATGCTTTCAATCAATCTTACTGACCCTAAATTTTGAAGGCTAGTGTATAATGTTCTTTTTATTTTGGTTATGAAAGTAATTTTCTCTAAGTGAATGCTGTATATTAATGTTGTAAATTATACAGGAATCCTTTTAACTTGGCACTGTACACAAAAAACACAAAAAACAAAAAAAACAACAACAGATTAAAAAAATTAACAACAATCTATGCAGTTCAATTGTTATTTGTTTAATAGAAATTAATTGACACAACCGAAAACTGCTTGGTGAATATCAACTGAAGTAACCAGCATTTCTTGTTTAAAGGGGACATATGATGCAATTTCAATTTTTCCTTTCTCTTTGGAGTGTTACAAGCTCTTGGTGCATAAAGATCATCTGTAGGACAGGGCATCACAGTATGGTAAGGGGCGTAGCATTTCCGTCATACGCTTGAGGTATTTGGCCAATCATAACGCACTGGATAGCTGGCCAATCACAGCACACCTTGCTTTTCAGACCGATGAGCTTTGTAAAAATTGACGCGTTTCAGAAAGGCGGGGCATAGAGGAGAAACAATAATGTACAGTATGTGGAAAATAATGTGTTTTTTGAACCTTAAACCGCATAAACACATTTCATTACACCAAATACACAAAATAATGTTCTTTTTAGCAATATCACATGACCCCTTTAAAAGATTTTTATATAATTAAAAATAATGATAACTTGAGGTTGATTCAATAACTGATCACTGTATGCTTTCATTGTATGCAACAGATCAGAAGCATTGTTGTTCAAAATTTCTTGTTTTCTTCATGTTCCACTGAAAATAGAAAT